CCACCATTTCTCGGCTAATGTTTCTCACTGCCTCTCATCCCGTCTGATGTTAAAACTGACTGACTCTCTGTTTCTCTGTCCTGGGTCTAGGTGGTCCTCCGCACAGGACCCTGGGTCCAAAGGATGTGTTCTTTGTTTTTCCTTGGTTATAGTGAAGTCCCTTGTCCATCTGTGGGATGGCTCATTTCACGCCTGAGGGGATGGCAGAACAGACCAATCTCCACATTATACTCTGCTCATTGTCTCTTCTTGAAACCCTCCATTAGGTTTCTGAGAGTGCAAATTCTGTAAGAGACTTCTCCTATTCCTCCCTTGGAGATGATGGAAGCTTGAGCTGCCAGAGAGGCATGACACTTGGGTCAGCACACAGCTCCCTGGGAAGAGTGCCACTAGAGCTTCCTGTTAGCGTCTCAGACATATTATTTGAATGAATTTTCATCCCCTACCCCAAGAATGCCATTCACCTTATTTCTGAGCCACAGGGCACCTCATTTGCACAGTCAGCTCAGTCAAAATCGATAGTGAGAATGGCCATATAAAAAAGCAATCCATTGCACTTCTTACCTTATTCATAGTCATCTCGCTGTATGATCATCATGCCCCGGGATCTGTGAAGTTACCTGGTTGTTGTTGAACTTCTGTTCAGCCACAGAATTAGTTCTCTGAATCAGGTATTACAGCAGAGTTTAGAAGGGAAAAAACCTTCTACTTTCCATAAGGAAAGATCCACCATCTGGATCTTTGACTTGCTTCTGTTAATATTCTTGCCATATGTAATTAGATCAGTGGCCTTACAGTGTGTGTATTGTAGGCCCACACTCACGCTCTCCCAGCCATAGCCTCCACCTCATTGCCAAGGGCAGTTGCTTTACCTCCCTGCAGCATTTCTAGAATTCAACTTGAAATGTACCAACTAAGGTATATATTTCCATGAGGACAGTTCTTCATAGTTTGTGAACCATTATTACTGCTTACGTTGCATATTACCCTGTGTTCTGAGTACTATTAGGAATTTGCTGTTCCTCTTTCTCTCTTGCTTATATGCAGTGTGGTACAAAAATCTTGATTCACTGTTGTTGTATACCTTTGAGTCGGAACCAATGCAGTGTGGGTTTCTGAGGCAGCAAATTTCACAGGAGGAGATTGCCCATCTTTATCTCATGGAGCAGCTGGTGGATTCAAGTCATACCTTTCCATTGGCATCACCAGTTCCCAACCACTGAGCCACCAGAGCTCTCTAAAGCTGAATCATAGCATTGAAAAACCCCATGTGCTTTGACTTTACCTTGACTTTGAATAATGGGTTTTTCTGCTTAATTCTTTTCTAAACTTAGGTAGGTTGCTTTATTTCTTGAAGGAGCAGTTCTCATTTGTAAATTGAGGACAGTACATACCTCATAAATTTGCTGTATAGAGAAAATGCAAAGTCACACCTATAAAATAAGGACAGTACATTCCCCATAAATTTGCTGTAGAGAGAAAATCACATGTCACATGCCTGGTATTGTAATATGTATTGCTTAGTAAATACGTCTTCCTACCCTGAAATTCCACTGTAGTGATAGATTTCTTTTGTCACAGATGAAAGTCTTGAGTGGAACCATGGAAAATGAGAAAATAGAAAATCAGCTTGTTATTCTGACTGATCACAGGAGGGGAAAAAAAGGCATCCGAAAGCTTGATTTGTGTGGCCAGAGTCTGAAACCTCTCCTGGCCTGTGCCCCTGATAAGGTCTTCCATCCCGCTCACTTGCACAGTGGGAGGACTGTGTGCAGGTTGATGCATTCAGGATACCTGGCCATGGTTTCTGTCAGGCAGAGCTCCACGTGACACCACTCAGCAGTAACACATGAGCTCAGTTTCTTTTTTCTCATCAGGATATTTTATGGAAGAAGAACGTAGATGGTCAGAACATAATTTTAGTGAGTTGAAATCTGTGTTTGAAAGGTGAATGACAGTTGCGTGTTTTGACGAATCCATTTCAGATACCCAGGCTAAAAATAAAGAAGTCTGCTTCTTCAGGAAATCTGTCTTCTAGAAAAACATGGTGATTGGAACTTGCTGATTTGACTCTGGCATTGGTGAACTTTCTACCCAAGATAGCAGCTTGGGTAATCTATGCCAGTCTGTGCATTGGGCATCCAAGAAACTTTGGCAAGTTTCCCCCAAACTGAGCTTCTAGCCACAATATTGCATCAGTATTTTATGAACTAGGTAATTTTATTTGAAGTCTTTATTACGTTAGTGGTTGAGGCAGGAAAAAACATAAATCAGGGGAAGGGAAAAATTGCTAATCTAGTAAAACCTGCAAAAAGTCAGAACCTGTGTTTGGTGGAAACCTGTTAGACAGGGACCCACTTACTCCTGTGAGGTGTTGCCAACTGATGGCAGTCCTTCTTTGGGTTTCTGAGATGGCAAATCTTTGTGGAGAAGACTGCCTCATCTTTCTCCCTCAGAGAGGCTGCGAGATTGAGCACTGACCTTTCGATTAGCAATCCACCATGTTACACACTGTGTTACTAACAGAGCTAACAGAAAAGTAGTAAGAGGTAAAAATGTGACATATTAGAAACTCAAGGCAGTCCCATCAAGTTCTGCCCCTTATGGTTTCTGTGTAACAGGAAAACCAATAAGATGTGTATGGGTACCCAAAGAAGGAAGGGGAGGTGGCATGGAGGCTGAGGGTGAGGACTGGGAGAATCACAGGGTTGCAGAGTTTGCTGAGTAGAGGGAGGGGGAAGGGGGAAAAAAACAATGTACATGAATGAAACACTGTGTAAACAAATTACTGTGTTGTTGATATGTACCATTGAGTCGCCTGCCACTTATAGTGACCCTATGTGCATTAGCTCTGAAACCTGCCTTATCCTGAGCCAGTCTCATCATCTCTGATAGACATAATTCCATTTCTCCAGTCACTGAGTCAATCCATCTCGTCCTGGGTCTTCCATGCCTGTGCTGTCCCTCCACCCTTTCTAAGCATGGTGTCCCTCTCCAAGGATTGGTGCCTCCTAGCCACGTGTCCAAAGTATGTGAGATGGAGCTTCAACATCCTTGCTTCCAGGGATCAGCCTCGTTTCACCCTCTTCATGGCAGACCTATTTATTCTCCTGGCAGTCCACAGTACGTTGAACACTCTTCTCCAGTACCACAACTCAAAGGCATTGTTCCTTTTTCTATCATCCTTAGTTATTGTCCAGCTTTCTGATGCATAGCAAGTAATTGCAAAACCATGGCCTGGATCAGGTGCACCTTAGTCTCCAGACTGACATCATTGCTCTTCGGTATTCTAGAGAGGTCTCTGATAGCACATTTTCCCAGCGCAATTCGTCTTTTGATTTCCTGACTGCTAGTGCCAAGAGCATTGATTGTGGAACTAAGCTAGCTACAGTTATCAACAATCTCAATCTCTTCTCCATTCATCATGAAGCTGCCAGTTGGCCCAGTGGTAAGAATCTTTGTTTTCTTGATTTTGAGCTTTAGTCCATATTGAAGACTACAGTCCTTTACCTTCCGCGGAAAATGCCTCATATCCTCTGCAGTTTCAGTAAGCAAGGTTGTGACATCTGCATAATGCAGGTTGTTGATGAGTCTTCCTCTAATTCTGATGCCACATTCCTCCTAATAAAGTCCAGCCTCCCGAATGATCTGTTCTGCATGTAGATTGAAAATGTATGGAGATAGGATACATCCCTGACACACCTTTTTTGATCCTGAACCATGCAGTGTTTCCTTGCTCTGTTCTGACTACTGCTTCCTGTTCCAATTACAGGTTTCACATGAGCACAGTTAGGTCTTCTGGGATCCCCATTCTTCTCAAGGTTAGCCACAATTTATTGTGATCCACACAGCTGAATGCCTTTACATAGTCAATTAAACACAGATAGACATTCTTCTGGTACTCTGCTTTCAGCCAAGATCCATCTAACGTTGGCTATGATGTCCTTAGTGCCATGCCCTCTTCTAAACCAGGCCTGTACATCTGGTAGTTGTCTGCTGATGTACAGTTCCAGTACTTTCTGGATCACCTTCAGCAGGATCTTGCTTGTGTATTATTAGTGAAATCACTCGATAATTTCCACACTTTGTCGAGTCACCTTTTTTTGGGAGCAAGAATAAATATAGATCTTTTCCAGTCAGTTGACTCAGTAGTTGTCCTCCAGATATCTTGGCATAACCTGGTGACTGAGTCCAGGGAAGCATCTGTTGCTGATATATGTCAATTGGTATTCCATCAACTCCTGGGGCCTTGTTTTTGCTAGTTCCTTCAGAGTAGCTTGAACTTCCTCCTCCATCACCTCTAGCCTCTTGATCATGTGTTGTTTCATTAAATTCTTCTGTGTCAGGCAATTCTTCTTGGTACAATGACTCTATAATCCTTCCATCTTCTTTTGATGCTTCTTGGGTCATTGACATTCTGCCCCCATCATCTTTAAGTATTACAACATGAGCCTTGAATTGGTTCTTCAGTTCCTTCACCTTAAGAAATGCTGGGCGAGTTTGTCCGTTTTGTAATTATTGTATTCAAACCAATAACTTCTTGTTTAAAAAATCATATATGTAATTTTGTACTTTTTAAAAAATACTTCTTCTCATTCACATTTGGTCTATAGCATTGTGAATGCTAAGAAGTTAGGAGTTATTTGCCCCAGTTACCTTTTCAGATGCGTTTTATATAGTAGACCCAAGATCTCCTAGTACACGCTAGGCTCTGCTTGGATCTCTATGCTTCTGTTCTTTAATTTGTTGAGGTAGCACTGTAGTAGCTTATATTTGGGGTATGTTAATTGCCAGACACTCTGTTAAAGATGTGGTGGCAGGTGGCATACACAGTGTTTTAAAGTTGGCATTTGAAGTAGTGGGGGAAAATGGGATGAAAACTCAGAGGAGTGAGGGATTGCTTCATGGGTGGGAGCTGGGCAGGCACTGACGCGGAGAGCTCCCTGGACAGCCAGTGCTAACGAGAATGCCTCCTTCTGTGCTACGTGCCTTTTCTCCAGGTCATGACTGCTGTGAGACGGTGAAGGTGCTGCTCTGCGCTTCCAAAGAGGGCCTTCCCGTGTTTGTGGTGGCAGAAGAAGACTTTCACTTCATCCAGGATGAGGCATATGATGCGGCTCAGTTCCTGGCAACCAGCGCTGGAAACCAGCAGGCCCTGAACTTCACCCGCTTCCTGGACCGCTCGGGACCGCCGTCTGGGGACGTGAACTCCCTCGATGAGAAGGTAGCACTGGCGTTCAGACACCTGAAGCTCCCAGCCGAGTGGAATGTTTTGGGAACAGATCACACTTTGGAAGGTGAGGATTCATATGATACTTTATGGCATTTAATTTGTTATGTAAATGTTTCTATATAAATTAAGGATTTGGTCATTGTCTAAATGTCGTCTTCTGGAACTGAGTAAGGCTGACAATTATGTACTGTAATACAGCGGCCTTTTACATCATTTGGCTGAGCTGTTACTTTGGTCTTCTGGTGAGAGAATGCCGGGAAGCGCCTCTGCAGTTGTGTTCAGCCTGTGATTCAGAGAACGGCTGAACATGGTCCTCTGGATCTCGTCAGTCTTGCTCTTTCAAGAAAAAAAATGACCCACCTTTCATGAAAACAGTCTCCAGAATCACCTTTTAAAAAATACTTTATAGCATTTAATTATTGCGAACAGTGTTTTTATTTACAGTTTCTTGATGATGCCATAGAATTTGAGGGAAACAAAGATTAGGATAGAAAAGGGGAGCTTGAGAGCAGAACAAAACTCCATACCTCTTGAACCAGAAAAATCTCACTCTTAGCTTTCTGTCTCCTGACCTCCCATCCATATGAGAGTTTTAAAGGCAGAGTTTCACTCTTTAAAATAGCACTGATGTGACAAATACCATTGATGTATTCCTCTTATTTAGAGATGCACTCTTCCACATTATTATTCCTGGAGCATGTATCTACCAAATGTCTTGATGTTTTATGTGTTATAAATTGAAGCATCATATAACTCTGGGACCCCAACAACAGCCTTTTCCCTTCCTTTATGGCACCCTCATGTTATAGTTGTCTTGGTGTTGGACGACTAACTTAAAGGGTTTGTATCCAACAGTGGCTTAGAGGGAGAAAGGTGGGCAGTCTCCTTCCATCAAGAGGTGCAGCCTTGGGAATCTGATGGAGAATTGACTGAGTCACATCACCTTGACAGCAGTGGGTTCACGTGCCCTTCCTAGAGGTGCACTGCTGGTGACGGTGGGTAAATTACCACAAAGTTGGTAGTTCAGTCCTACAATTCTCAATGGAGAAAAATGTGAAAGTTGGCTTATGTAGAGAGCTGTAGCCTTGGAAACCGTGTGGGATAGTCCTACGCTATCTTGTGGGATCCTTTTGAGTAGCATTTAACTTGACGTAAGTGGATTGTGTTTTGTTTTTACTTAAATCTTTGAAACTGAACAGTCAGTATCCTCAAAAGAATGAGTCTAGTCTGCTTTGATGACTGTTAAGAAGGGAGAACAGAGCATGACTTACCTTCTCCATAGATGAGCAGATCCTGAGGCAGAATGCCCAGGGCAGCTCTCCAGACTCCTCAGATTAGCTTGTTCTTCTTCTTCCCATGGAATAGGAATTGTAAACATTGATTCTCTTAAACGCAGTGAATTTAAGTTAATTAAGCCTGTGCTCACCCCCAGGAGTGGTGTCCCACTTGGTGAAGATGAGATTACTATTGGGGCAACCCTGCTGAGTATGAATTATAAAGTCAGATCAAAAAAGAAACCATTTATCCTTTTTTCTTTTTACTGTAGTGTCCAAGAAACCTCTGTGTTGGTAAGATGGAGAGGTCAGAATATTTTCACTTTGATTTATATCCCCTCCACATCCCATCTGTATAGATATAGTCTAAATACAGTCGTGAATACTTTTTCAGAAACTTGATGTTGGACTTTTGAGGGAATCCTTAGGTTGTGTAGAAAGTTAAGCATTGGACTGTTAGCTAGAAAGTTGAACGTCCACAGAGGTCCCCTGTAAGGAAGGGCTAACACTGTCTTTTATAAATTATCATCAGGCTAGAACGTCATTAATTATTTGTGGGGCTGAGATGAAATTTTGGTTTGGTTTTGTCTTTTTCAGAAGCATCCACAACAAACCCCCCCCCCCCCAAAAACCCAACAAAACAAAACACAACTATTAGAAAAAAAACACAAGCAGAAATTTGAGGCAAATCTTTGCCTTTTCTGAGCCTTCAAAATAAGTCTTTGCTTTAATAGGAGAGAACTATTTTAATACTTTGTGTTCTTTTTTCTAAAGTCTGTGTTGTGCAGAATTACTTAAATAAAACTATCAAAGGTGAAATCAACTTTGAGCATGTTATTGTTGTTGGTGTTATGTGCTGTCAACTATGATTCATAACAACACTATGAACAATGATGACTCTGACCCTTGCTTTAGCCTGAGCCAACTTCATCATCTCCAACACACCTGACCCCGTTGCCACAGGTAGTGTCACATCATCTCACATAGAATCTTCCTCTTCTGCACTGATCCTCTACCCTTCCAAGCATGATGTCCTTCTCCAAGGCCTGACCCTTCGAGAAACATGCCTGGAGTATGTGAGATAGAGTTTCAAAATCTTTGCCTCCAAGGAGCAACCTGGTGTCACCCTTTCTGGGATGGCCTCTGGGAAGCAGATTGCTCAGACAGTCTTTAAAGCCGCTATGGATAAGTTTTGAACCACTAACCTACTTAGCTCAGTAGCTGAGTGCTTAACCATTAGTGCCACCCTGGGACTCCTATTAGAATGGCTAAAATGAAAAGTAACAGCAGTACCAACTGCTGGAGAGGATGCAGAGCAACTCTGTCTTTCATACGTACAAGTTAGTGGGAATGTAAAATGGGATAACTTTTTTGGAAAATAGTTTGGCAGTTTCTTATAAAATCAAAGGTATGCTAGCGTGCTGCATGCCTTAGCAGTTTCACTCTGGATATTGGTAGCAGAGAATTGAAAATTCAGAATTACGTACGTAGACAAGCTCTACATGAATATGACAGACACCAAAAGCTGGAAATAAATACATTCTCCCTCAGTGAATGAATGGACAGCAAACAGTGGTGCGTCCTAAACTGCTCAGCAATATAAAGGGATAGATTATTACTGTTTTAGAACTTGGATAGATTTTTAATTATGTTAAGTAAGAGAAATTTCAAATGTAATATTATATGATTGTATTTTTAAAAATTTTATTTTATTAGTTTTAATGAACATTTACAGAGATTTTGGATTTCCATTCATTCATTCATTGTTGCACTATTTTCTCTACCCCCCATTTCGTTCCTCTCTTATTTTTTTCCTTGAAAGTCTGTTTTAAGTGACCCATTGCCACAGTGCTTTTCAAAACCAGTGATTGCATTTTTGTGACATTCTGAAAAGGTAGAGCAAAAAAAAAAATGGAATGACAGATCAGATGCATGCTTGTTGCTGAAGATTAGCGCCTGGAGAAAAGTTCTGGCAGCAGAAGGTTATCATGAGAACATTCCTTAGCATGTTGAAATGGTTTTGGATCCTGATTGTGGTGGTAGTTATAATATATATATATATGCATTAAAGCTCATAGAACTGCTGTTGCTACGTTTCAGTGAGTGGATTCCAGCTAGTGACCCCCAGTACAGAGTAGAATCTCCTCATGGCCTTCCCAAGGCTGCATTGTTTATGGAAATTTCACTAGCGTGTTTATTTCATGGAGTACTTAGTGTATCTCCCAGAAGGGATTTCTAGGTGATAATGTTGTTGCCATCTAGTGAAGTTGGAGCCTTCTTACAGCCAATCCTCCAGCAGGTTTTCAGAGGCTTTAAATACCACTAGATGATATTGCCTGTCTTTCTCCCAGTTTGAACTGCCTGCCTTTGTGTTGGCAGTGTGCAACTCCTTACCACTAGACCGCAAGAGATAATGAGATTTATTGAAGTAATAAAATGATCTTTAAATAGAAAACTAGAAAAAAAAACAACTCTTCTTAATTTTATTGCTAGATTTATGGTCAGCAGTGTGACGTGTTTAATTGTTGATTGTAGTCTGTGAATACAGGCTGTGGGAAAGTAAGGTATCAGCAATTCAGAGTTCAGTTTACTCTCCGTTGAGGGGCCAGTGTAAAGGTCCAGTCTTTTCACAGCAGTGAAGGCACATCAGATACTTAAAAGAGTACAACATGAGCCTTGCCATAATACAGGTGAATAGAAAACTCTGCTTTGTAACAGGACTACTTATTGTTGAAAGCAAAGGATGTTTACAGGTATTTCTGCTTAATACTTTTATAAAAGATTCATGTAAAGTTTATGGCTAATATTCCCTCTTTTTAATTAGTTGCAGTGCTTTTTAACTTTGGCTTCTTTGAAAATGAACTCCAGTTTCTCCTCAGGAAAAAATTAATACAAGCACGTACCTGTAAAAATGTACTTATAATTTCAGGGGCCTCTTTAGTCTCTGGCAGTGTAGTACACAGGGCAGTAGTACAGTGGTTAAAGCGTGTACTTGTTAAGCAGAGGGTTGGTGCGTCTAATGCTCCATCAGCCATGCCACAGAAGAAAGGTGTGGAAGTCTACTGCTGTTAAGATTTCAGCCTTAGAAACCCTGCAGTTCTGTGTGTCCTGTAGGGCACCTGTGAGTCAAAATTCGTTTATCAGCAATGGGCTAGCTTTGGTTTCCATGTCTGGAATACTAAAGGCATGAGGTTCGACTTTAACAGCTGCTTCAATGGAGACAGATGGGCAGTCTCCTTGTATGTGATCAAGTGCCGATGAAAACCCACCAGCGGATCAACTATGGGTTGGTTCTGATTTGACAGTACACAACAATAATAAGAACTGAACCCTTTGTGAACTAGTGTCTTGGCCATTATTTCCGCCCCTGTCTGTGCTAATTTCGTGGTCCTGGAGGCAAAATTCTGTCAGTTTTCACCAAAATTGAATAATTCATACATGGGAGTGCTTCTCAAAACAGATATTTTTCCTTCTCAAGAGGAGAAGGAAAACAAGGAATTGGACAGGAAAAACCAAAACAAATGGAGAAGAAAATATGCCCTCTATCTACTCATTGATAGTATCATTCTCTTCACATGTGCTAATAATAGTATTTAACTGAGCAAATCAAGTATGTAAACGGCCTGCAGAGGAGTTGTCTGTTTGAAGTCTGATGTTTCACCCTTTGCCATGGCTTTCTCTCCTCTGCAGTTAGACTCACTGGAAGATGTGGGACTTTAAACAAACAGTCACTACCATGGTGTTATGATGGTATCTGCAGTTAATTCTAAGTAAAGAACCTGAGAAATATACCATTTCTTTGGAAATTAAATGACACTAAAGTTTCCTAGCTAAAATCTTTCAAGGTTG